CTATCTCTATCCCCATCCATATCCCTATTTTTGCCTCCCAGGAATCAGCTCAACCTTGGTCTCCATTTTCGTCTCCATCTCCCCCCCGGTTCCCTGTCCCTATTCCTATCCTTATCCCTATCCCTATTCTTGTCCCTATTTTTGCCTCCCAGGAATCAGCTCAACTTTTTTCCCTAGTACAGTTGATGTGAATTTCCCTGTACCCTTCACCATTCCTACTCCAAGAGCTACTTTGGATTTTTGCAAGGTTATTTATTAAAAAAAAAAATGTGATTTCACATTAATTACATATTAAGACTGTAATATTTCTTTATTATAAATCAAAATTATAAAAATTATTTTATGCATAAATCAATATAAACAGGTAAACAATAAGATAAATTCAATATGTCTAAAAATATAACACTTGTATTACATATTACGTACGCATATCTACATGATTGATCAATCCGTCATTCTTACACACCTTAGTATATGTTGGGTTTATCAAGAAATAAAAGATTTTTATAAGTTACTTTTCAAAAAACTTCTCAAATAAACGTGTCCCTCTTTATTTTGTTAGATAAATGAAATTCTACGCTCCTTGCAGTCAAAGTATACTATTTGCCCATGCATGTTTATCTAAATATAGGTATTTTGGAGTGAATAGGTGCCTATGGAAATGAAAAGAAAATAAGTGTTTAAATTTTATTGAAATGAAAAAAAAAATTTAAATAATCCTCGTTTAAATTCTTTTAAAAAATTAAAAAAAAAATTTGAATTGCATAGTTAAAAATATATACCGTCGTTTATAAAATAAATAACACAGATTGATAATAAATAAATAAATTGACAACAGAAATGATATCTAGACAGAACACAGCTTAGAGTTTTTTTTTTTTTAAATTGGGGGGGGGGGGTTTGGATAAGTATATTTTTTTAGGGAAAATTACACTTTAACTTTTATGCTTTTGATTGATGTTATTTTACAGCCGAAACAAGAAGGCTACACGTAGCGCCACCCCCCCCCCCCCCCCCCCCAACAAAACAAGGTAATCTACCCCTCTCTCTCTCCAAATGTCTACATGTTAAGGTAAGAAAAGTTCTTCTCTCTTCTCTTATTTAAAAAACAAAATGTTCTTAAGAGAAACATATCGTACAGTTTAATAGAAGACCACTTATTTAATTTATAGACCTCTATGCGTCATGAGTCATGACTTGGCTGAATCTGGGGTTTGCTTTGCAGTGACAAATATGGAAGAAATCTGAATGAAGTTAGCACCGTTGGACCAGACCAGGACCAGGAAGAATTGAATCTGGTTCGGGCTATGGGCCAGTACCTCCTGAATCCAAAGTTATGGCCCAGCGAGCAAGGATTAAGCTATTCTAGAATCTGGACCACTGTCGCCTTAACAAGCCTTTTTAAGTCCACAAGTTTGATTTAGAAATTGAAGATCGGTGGGCATCCGCTTCGGGCTATGGACCGTAATTCATGAATCCAAAGTTCCAGCTCCAAGAATTCTGCGTATCCCCTCCCCACCTCCCCCCGGCCACGAGTGCGGCTGCAATGTCACGGTAATTATATATTAAACTGGGAAAAATTACCAAGCTGGACAGCCTGGTAATTTTTAATAACTTGGAGGGCCATATCAAAAACACATTTTTATTCAGAATTAAAAAATATTTAATTAACAATTTTTGTAAAAATAATCTAATTAATTAAAAATTCAAAAATTATTCCGTGCAGAGAAAGTAATCTAGTTTGTTATGTATTAGAAGTGATGGGCTTTTGTGTGAGTAAACAAATAATCAATCTTAGTCGAGGAAGCAACCTAGCTAATGCAGTTTCCAGTGGCTTTTTCAACTTTTCAAATACATTTTCTTCCAAATTAAATTTTATCTGCAAACATATTTTTTTTTTAAATTTTTCTTGAAGCCGCTTTGTCACAAGATGGCGCCAAAAATTGGCTCATTATTTTATTTTATTTTTTTATATGGGTCAGCAGATATATGGCTTATGCACCAAGTCTTTGTAATGAGGCTGACAACTAGATTCTTATTCTCTTAATGGTCCCCTTGATCGGTATATTTAAATTAAGAAAAGCTTCTCAATAATGCGCTACTTTTTGGTGCATCAAAATTTAGAAAAGAGATTAAAATATATCTCAAGTAGGAGATAGTTTTGTAGTTGGGTTTTTATTAAAAAAGAAAAAATAATTTTTTTATTGTAGCAGGTTTTTTTTTTTATATGCTATTAAGGTTGTTTAAATAAGTGCAATATCATATATCCCAATGTTAATCCAATAAATGATTAGATCATTAATTTATTGTGTCAGTCTTTAATATTAAATACAGTACAAAAAAAAAAAATTAGACATTGAGGCCTTTGAGGCTTTAAATTAAAGCTCTTGTAAGCCCAAAAATTTAAGCTTATAAAATTCAAAAGCTGTGTCAGGCACTAAATATCAAATAAAAAATACAAAATACAGAAAAGTTATGGACTCCAGGATTTCAAAACAATTCTAGGGCTGGTGGTCCAAACCAACCTCGTCTTCTTCTTAAGAATATTAACAGAGATGATAACAATAGAATAATGTTTTTGAAACTAAAAAAACCCAAAACAAGATTTGATGATCTTAGGTTGCGTCTGGCCGACACGGATTGATTGCAGACGTTTTGGCTCCTTGTTAAAAGAGTGGGGCTTCGCTGAAGCTGTCATCTTCACTCTGAAGTAAAACTTCATGCCATGGCGACTCAACTAGATGAAAGGACCTTAGAAAATTGCCCTCAAGAATCTTTTCTAGAGGATCATCCAGCGTATAAGGTTGTAATTTTGATTACTGTTTCTAACCTATTCAAAGTTAGTGAGAGGAAAATGAATTTATTGCATAAACAATAATATTTACATACTTGCATAAATTTTAATTTAATAAATATTAAAATTATTTATTCAGTTGAGAACATTATCAAATAATTTTTCCACCGTAGAGGTTAAAAGTTTGCTTTACAGGTGGGATAGTTTAAGATTTCTCTTGTCATTCAAAGTTGAAGTGACCCATTTTTAGTTAAAAGAATATATATATTTTTGAATATCTAATAAAAGATCAAAAGTATTAAAAAAATATATATATTATTTTTAAGGTAGGAACTTATATTAAAAAAAATTATCACAGTGAAAATTGATATGAATAATAGAATTATTCAAGAAACTAATATTTGAGTTGAAGTGTTAAAATTAAGAGCCAAATGACTAGCACACACATATATCTTTGTGTGTGTATAATATACATTATACATAATTGCATTTGTGTGAAAAAATAAGAAAGAGAAAAAAATATTTTTTAATAAAAATGAAACAAGTAATTTTGAGATTGAGTATAACTCTGAAATTATGCTCAATTTGTTCAATTTCAAGAGGATATATTCCATATTTTTGAGTTTGTGTTTCTTAAATATAATTTTTAAAATAATAATTATAAAATTTAAGTCTTAACACATAAATATATGCTTCAAAACTGTACAAAAAGGCCTAACACTCATTTACATGCCACCCATCCTTGCGGCGAAGAGGAAAATTAGTAGGGGTGAATTGAATACTGTGCACAAATACAATGCCCTAAAAGCTGAGGCTATTAGGAAATAGGCATAATCATGTATATATCAAAGCTAACACCGAGCAGGTGCGCGGCTCCTTGGGCGGGCTGCGTGGTTCCAATCTGTGTCCTGCGTTTTTAGATCAAGGCCTGAGTTTTCTGGAGAAGAACAAGGAGATAAGGAAGATTTTTGTGTGCAAATTATTTTGGAATTTTCTGAGAGTGATTTACTTACCCCCGAATAGCTATGTAGTAGTGACATACGGCGATCGATTAGATTAGCTTTCTTTAGATCAGGAGAGTTGACTTGGACTTTTCTTAAGACGACAAGTTTTTTTTTATTTTACTTTTCACATAGGTGAATATTATGGCGTAACTAGTGAGAATGGGCTTGTGTTTATTGATCTTGGGCGTGGCGCCAGCAGAATTAAATCAAAGGAAATAAATTTTTTTTGTAGCAGGTTTTTTTTTTCTTTATATGTTATTGAGCTTTTTAAAATAAGTTGCAATATTATTTATCCCACATATATGATGCTGATCCAATAGATGATTGGATCAATAATTTATTGTGTCAATCTCTAGTATTAGATATAGTAAAAAAAATTAGACATTGAGATCTCTAAAGTTTTAAATTAAAGCTCTTGTAAGCCCAAAAATTTAATCTTATAAAAGTCAAAAGCTGTGTCAGGCACTATATATCAAATAAAAAATACAAATACAGAAAAGCCATGGGCTCCAGGATTTCAAAACTACCCCAGGGCTTGTGGTCCAAACCAACCTCGTCTTCTTCTGAAGAATATTATCAGAGACGGTAATAATAGAATAATGTTTTTGAAACTAAAAAATCCAAAAACAAGATTTGATGTATCTTAGGTTGCGTCTGGCCGACAGGGATTGATTGCAGCCGTTTTGGCGCCTTGTTAAAAGAGTGGGGCTTCGCTGAAGCTGTCATATTCCCTCTGAAGTAAAACTTCATGGCCATGGCGACTCAACTAGATGACAGGACCTTAGAAAATTGCCCTCAAGAATCTTTTCTAGAGAATCATCCAGCGTATAAGGTTGGTAATTTTGATTACTGTTTCTACCCTAATCAAAGTTAGAAGAAAATGAATTTATTGCATAAACAATAATATTACGTACTTGTATAAATTTTAATTTAATAAATATTAAAATTATTTATTCAGTTGAGATTCATTATCAAATGATTTTCCACCGTAGAGGTTAAAAGTTTGTTTTTCAGGGGGATAGTGCAAGATTTCTCTTGTCATTCAAAGTTGAAGTGACCCATTTTCAGTAAAAGAATATATATATTTTTGAATATCTAATAAAGATCAAAGTATAAAAGGAGTTAAAATGCCTGATGAATCCAAAATCCAATCTCTTCCCCCCCCCCCCCGATCTCTCTCTCTCTCTCTCTCTCTCTCACTCATGGCTTCCACCACCAAAGAAGTGGCTACCGAGCTCCTCCCTCTCCTCCGAGTCTACACCGATGGCACTGTTGAGCGGCTCGTGGGCTCCCCATTCGTGGCAGCAGGAGTTGACCCAGCTACCGGGTCTCCTCCAAAGACGTCTGCATCTCACCGGATGTGTCAGCCCGACTATACCTTCCCAAACTCTCTGACGACTACCATGAAAAGCTTCCGGTTCTTGTTTACTTCCACGGGGGTGGTTTCTGCGTCGAGTCTGCCTTCTCCTTCCTTCACCACCGCTACATCAACATATTAACCTCACAAGCCAAAGCCCTCACCGTGTCCGTCGAGTTCAGGTCAGTGTAAAACTACATCGCCACTAGGCAAAATGTCAAATGAGTTAATAAAAATAAAAATAAAAATAATCAATTTATGTATCAATTGTGACTTACAAATGGAAAACGCCACTTTGGTGCATTCCAAATTTGCAATATTTTGTTAAATATTTTTTCCCACTAATATAATCATAATTAAAATCTTTATATCAACTGTTGCAGCTAATATTACACAAAAATTATTTAAATTTATTAGGACAATAACTCGTTTTATATATTTATAACATAATTTACTTTATTCTATTGTAAATGAGCTATTAATAACTTTGACTTAATTTAAAATATTTTTAATATTAACACTAATTAAAGACAAATACAAATTGTAATGGCAAGAGAATTACTAACTCAAATAACTTGTCGAATCTAAACTATTACTTATTCAAAATATAAAAACCAAAGTTATTTATTAGTAATTTGTAATTTTTTATATAATTTATCATATGTCAGGGCCCAACCCAGGCCCGTGACCGGCACTAGGGTCCTCGACCTAGTCAGCCTTACCATCGCAAACAGACACCAAAACTAACCAAAACATTTATATATGTACATTTCAAAACCCTCATCTACAAACTAGGATCTTGCCCGACTGATAAAGGGAGTTTAGAGTACATAATAGGTAAACAAGGAACTCGCCCGTACATCAAAGGAAGTGGCAGACGACCGTCTCAATCCTGGCACGCAACCTGAGAACTGTAACCTATATCTGAAAAGTTTATAATAATGAGTCGCGAAACTCGGTGAGTATAGATGATACCTACTTTATGCATGTTAGAATATGCATCAAGCCACAATTTAAAACCATACTGACATATACAGCAATCAATAACAACAACTATACTCTAAAAGACACCTCTAACCACGCATTACATCACATCACATCAATTCACATTACAACACTGAACCCAGGTCTACTCACCACTAGACACTACAGATCACTGTACCCCAGTTGAGTTCCTGACGTCGCAATTACCTCACTCGACCCAGGCCGCTCACCATTAGACGCTACGGACCGTACTCCAGCCGAGTTCTTAGCATCACTAATAACTTGCCCAACCCAGGCCGCTCACCACTGGACACTACGGACTGTCGTATTCCAGCCGAGTTCCTGGCATCGCTAGTAACTCGCCCGACCTAGGCCACTCACCACTGGACCCTACGGATCCTTACTCTAGCCGAGTTCCTGGCATCCTTATATCACATCACACAACACCATCCTCACACGCAAATCAAGAACATATACACATACACACTCAAAATTACATATCCCAAAATTAGTGGTACATACTAACCTAGTCTACTCATAGCTCACAAAACACATGACACGCATTCCAAGATTCACATATCAAACACAGTTTTGCAAATCCATGCAAACATTATGCTAGAAAAACAAGTATGAAAATACATGTATAGAGAGGGTATCATCACTCACAGTGTAGACTGAATCTAACAAAAGCTTAAGTCACGTCAATCAACCGTCCGGTCCCGGTGCTCCTCCATGGGTGAACCTGAAGTCAAAACCATACAAACCGTTACCGACCTAATCGTCAGTACCCAAACGGCTTGACAGCCCAAGACGGGACTTAAATCCCATTCCCGTACCCAACACGCATCCTGAGGCACACTACCCATCAACGATCCTGCACGACTCACTAATACTCACACTTCAGCTCAATAACCCTTAGCAGTAAAGGACCAGCCTCCACAACCCCCAACCCATAATGAGCCGGTCTCCGAAACCCCTGAACTAGCCTGACCCGATCCTAAAACTACCTCAAACTCTACTTGATTGGCTACAAAACCCTCAAAAATAGATTCAGAAGGCCCAAAAACCTTAAGAACCATACTAACCTGGCCAAAAACCTTTAAGGTTAGATCGAACCGGGCCAAAACCCTAATCTAGAACATTAACACGCAAACCGAGTCCAGTTCACCTAGAACCACCTCTAAACATCACCAAATTTCATGGTCAACTAGGTTTCATCATGTTGAATTAGGAACCGATTCAATCTTCCCAAAAACCAGCCTAAAAACTGGTGAACTAGTCCACAGAAAGAACCACACTAAACCGGCCGGTTCACCTCGAACCAGCCACCCAAATTTTCCCAAACCCATTTGGTTTGATAGGTATTTTCTTTTTGAATCCAGAACTAGCCCAACTTTTCAAATCCTAGTCCATTGGACCACTGAACCAGCCGGTCAAACCTTGAACCAGTCTGACTGGTTTAGTCAACCCTAAAAACCCTAATCCTCCAATCTTGGACTATGCTATCCCCTGCTATCCCCAATCTTGCCCTATCCCTGATTTCTTATCCCCTGGAACATCCTAACCCAATTCTCCTTTCTAGGTCAACTCGGCTGAGTTGACCCAGTCCCTACTCACTGGATCGAGTCGATCCAACAGGTCGACTCAGCATAGCCTTGCCTGGGCTGGCCTGCGGTTTCAGCCTGTGGGCTTGCAGCTCATTTGGGCTCAGCCTAGCACAGTGGGCGGCTTACGGGCCGGGCCCAACCCGGCTGGACCCGGCCTAAGCAGGCCCAGCCCACGCTTGCACGGACCCAGTTCCACCTAGGTCCGTTTCCTCCGCCGAACCCCAACCTCGACCTGCAACCCTCCCCTACTCCTGGGCTGGCCTACGGCTCAGGGCCATGGGCTAGTAGCCCTGATGGACCAGCTCGGGCCTAAAGCCCAGGCCGACCCTCGCGCGGACCCGGACCAGCTGGGTCCCTCCTTCTTCGCCCGGTCGTAGCATCCGAACTAGCCATCCGGGTCTGTAACAGACCCGATCACCAGATTTCAAATAGAAGCAAAAGCTCACTTACCCAGTTAAATTCCAACTTCTCAAACTTGACTATAGTGATTCACGAACTCAGCATCAACTTCTAATCGGAGAAAACTTGGCTCAATTGCTCGAAATTTTTGGATTTGTGCTCATCGGTGCCGCGGCTTCCAGCTTGACTGTCTCCCTTGTTTCTCTCGAAATTTCTCAATTACTTCTCCCCTCGAACTCAGTTTATCCCTATATACATAGCCCAAAAGCTTATTCAAGCTGTTAAGCTCCTATTAGAGCAAATTATGGCTTCTACATCCTTCGGCCGGCTTCCGGCGAAGGTTCCCCTTTTTCTTTTCTTTTTTTTTTTTCAATCCGGCCCCAACTTCTTTTATTTCTATCAATTAACTCCCCCAATTTCAAATTAGCCCCAAAACGATTTAATTGTTGCAATTTAGTCCAAAATTAATTAAATAAAATATATAAAAAAATCAGATTATTACATCATATCACTATCAAAAATCAATATTAGACAGAACATCTCAAATATCATCCTACACAAATAAATAGTGAAACTACTATTCCAATAAATTAATACCAGTTGACAAACTAGAGTATTTTCCATCTCTTACTGTTGTTTAATATGATTTTTGGGATTTTTTTTTATTAATTGGAAGGAACTGATGAACATCATGATTGTAGATTAGTGATAACCTTGTTTATAGGTACCCATGATGTTATAATTCCAGTTTCTCGAACCGTTATAATGAATTTTTGAATTTATAGAAAAAAAATTAATTTTCCAAGTCTTTTTAACTTGTAAGAAATCAATTAGATTTGAATTCTTTGTAGGTGATCACATTAAGTTAAAAGCCCTTACTTATTAGAAGAACAAAATTCAATTAATCCTTTTTTTTTTTTTATACAGCCATGTATAACTAAAAATAAAATGATTTTGCATATTTGAGGTTCTTATTTCTGTATTATCTTTTTTTCCATAAATGTTTAGTAAAAAAAGCTAGAAACAGAAATGCCTAAATCTCTACCTCTTGTAATTAATGGTATAAGTGTAATAATTTGAATTATTATTGTTCTATCATTTTAATTAAAATCTCCATTTACTCTTATCTAATAAAATTTATTTTGTGGTTAAAGATATGCTTCTTTAATGAATAAGTAGTTTAGGCATTTTAACATAATAAATAATTATTTAAATTATTTTACTAAACATTTGTTTTATCATTTTCTTTTTACATTTTAGTAAATATATATCCTCAACTTCTATATTTTTTACACTTTCTTAATTATTTCTAAAATTTAACTTTTCTAAAAATAATAATTCACGTAAACATGTCTAAGTATTGTTTTGAGAACATATTTCTTTTACATCATTGTTTTATAATGTAAATAAAAAATAAAACTATTCTAAAATATAATTTCACTTTTTTTCATTAAATTTTGCATGATTTGGTGAGAAAAGGATAATTTATTTAATGAATTTTTTATATTATAAAAATTTTTCTTTCTAAATATAATAACAAAAATTAAATAGAAGGCCAATTTATAAAGCATCTCTTATTTTTCTTCATTTCTCAAATTGCTATCTAGAAAAAAAACGGTGAGAAAATCGGATCTTTTCTTTTCTTTTTTTTTCCTTCAAATATGTAGTTTTAGATTTAAAATTTTACTAAAATTGAGTATGAATTTTAAGTAAATCAAACTTCATGCATTACTAAATAATTAAAATGATGAAAAATAAATCTTTAAGTTTTAAAAATTCAATTCTTCATTGCTTTAATTTAAAATTTTAATAATTTTTTTTAGTAATTAGATTCATTTTTATCAAAGCACATGATATTCTGTTTTCATATCAATTTGTAGGAGTAAGATGGTGTAATACATAAAATTTTAAAAAATTACTATTAAATAATTTAAATTTAAATTTAAATATTTTGATAGTAATTTAGATTCAATATTGCTAAAATCAGTAACATTGCAAACTGCAAAGAGAGGATTCTAAGTGTTCATTTGAACTTGTTTCTTGATAAAAAGATTAAGTATTTAACTAAAAAAATTATAATACACTACTTTACATTAATTTGTGAGAGTGAAATTATATGATATATAAAATTTTAAAGGGTGTGACTATGTGGTATCTATATAATTCTTAAGTTTATGGGAAAGACATAACTATTGATCTCTTAAATTTAAAGGAAGTGTCATATTAAAATTTGACATCTTTGTCCCCTAAATTTAATATAAGCTTCAACATGGTTTCTCATATCACTGTTTGACAATTTTTTGGCATTTTTTAGTTACTTAAGCCTCACATGTAAAAATTAGTTAGAGTACATTTGTCATACAAAAAAAGGTAAAAAAGAAAACAAAAATAGGTATAACCAATTAGAACCAGGGAATATGATAGAGAAAATTTGGTCTATTTAAAATGTTAAAAATATTTTACTTATTTTTAGAAGGTCCAAATTTTTATATTGCATGAACTATATTTATTTTTAAATTTAATATGAAAGTTAAATATTACACATCAAATACTTGTAACCAAATTCTGGTTAGAGGTGGCAAAAATTATCCAAAAAATTGATTAAGAGATTACATCAGAACTTATATTAAACTTGAGGAGTAGAAATGTTATATTTTTAATTTAAATGATTAATGTAATATTTAATTTAGTTTTGGAGACCAGAAGTAAGATTTTGCTAACTTTATAACATATCCTTAATGATTTTAGTACATTTTTTTTTTACAATTTATAAAGAAATTTATAAATTGTTTGGATGGTAAAAGCACCATTTTTGTTTCAATGCTTTTATAAAAGCCTAATTTGATGAGCTTTTTCATTTTTTAAGCAGATAGAGAGTTTTACCTTAAATATATAAACCGGGTAAAACCCGAAATTTATTTCATTGTAAATTTTTTCTGACAGGAAAGCCTCACTTTTTTTTTTTATTATAAAGGCCTCTGAAATTAAATTAACATCCAGTTCCCATAATTTTTATTTATTTCTAACAGATCAGCCCCAGAGCATCCTCTGCCGGCTGCCTATGACGATGCACGGACCGCTTACAATTGGGTCGTCTCCCACTCCGCTCCAAACAACACCGAGAAAGACCTGTGCTGACCCGCCACGGCGACCTTCACCGCTTGTTCCTCGGTGGCGACGCCTCTGGTGCCAACATCGCCCACAACACGGCCATGAGCATTGGTGTCGATGATAGATGTTTCCAACTTCGGGGACTTTTCCCTGCCTACCTTCTTCTGGGGTTCCGAGCCCATTGGGTCAGAGCCCAAAGATGGCCACCTCGAGCGCATGATATCTCGAGTCTGGAACTTCGCGTACCCGGCGGCCGGGCTTGACCATCCGATGGTCAATCCTTTTGCAGCCGGAGCCCCGACCATGGCAGGAATGGGCGGGTTTCGGCTACTAGTTTGCGTAGGAGAGCAAGACATTTGTAGAGAGAGAGGGATTCATTACTGTGACGCAGTGAGAGAAAGTAGATGGAGGGGAGAGGTGGAGTTGTATGAAGCAGAGGGCGGGAAGCATGGGTTTCATATCGCTGAACCAGAAACTGAAATGGCCAAGGTGATGATAGCTCGCTTGGCTTCTTTCCTCCAGCAGTGATGAATTTTAGGCGCAATAAAACCGATGGTGTCTAAAGGTTGGGTAACTGTTGAATTTGGTCTCTATACTTCACTGGTATTGAATTTGGCCCCTGAATGTTGCAATTTTGATGCACTTTTAATGTAACCGCTAACTTTTAAATGAATAGGGCCACGTGACAAAATAAAAGAAAATTCCATTTTAGGACATGAAAAAAATTCAAAGATACTGTTACTAGGGGTGATAGATTCAATCTTAATACTAGTCAGGAGTCCTAGTTTTGGGTAGTGCACTTCAAATATATTTAACTTGGTAGATGTTTTGATCATGTATATTAGAGGTGTTTACGGTTCAGTTTTTTATGATTTTTTTTCAAAATTTATACCACACCAATGTATTTAGTTTTTTGAAATTAAAACCAAAATCACACTTTTTGATACCGGCACCAATTCCTTCGATTTTCTTTGGTTTCAATACGGTACGGTTTGCTTTGATTTTTTTATATTAAGTTATTTTTTTAGCTCTAACCATTCAAGCCAAATAATCTAAAATAATGAGTAAAGTTTTTCTTATTTTCACAAAGACCTTAAAGTAACATATAAATTGGTATCTTGTCTCTTATATATCTATTTCCATATAAGTATTAAGGAAATTTAAAGAGAAGAAAAAAAAATTAAGAAAATCTAAGTATTACATAATTAGATCCGTGCATAGAATTCTACTTCAACTAAAAGGAAGTAAAGCCAGTAAAAACTTATTAGCTACCTTTTCGGACATTTTATTTATAATCGACCTTCACCATTGCAATGTAATCAAGTAATACAACCTACTTTTGCCAAACCCACTTTTTTCCAAATTTGCTTTCCCTAAACCCACATTCTGTTGGACAAGCCCTTAGAGGCTAAAGAGAAAGTTGGGAAACCTTAAAACTATTAGTACTCACAATCTTTAATCAAAAATTAAATGTTTCTAGTTCCTTCGTATGATCATGTTTTATGAATTTTAAACTAGTTAGAAAATAAAAAGAAAGGTTTGAAAACCATAAAATTACCCAATACTCACAATCTCTAATCCAAAATCAGATGTCTCTAGCTCCTTCATAAGATCATACTTTACGTATATAAAAAATGAAATACTTTGTTTGGTGTACCAAGTAAGAGAATGTCAAAACTCCCAAAACATGCTAAAAATTATATCATTAAATTGAGTTATGACCTTACTATCTGAAGACCACACTATTGGAGTCAAAGCCCATTGCATAACATGGACCACTAAGCAAAACAAAATCTAGAGTTAGGGTTAGGGTTAGATCTATTTCTTCTTTTAACATTTTAATCCCCATATTTAAACCCATTTTTTACATAAGCCTTTGTCTTTTTAATTTTTTTGATTTACTATTAAATTGATCTTAATTTTTAGAAACTTAAATATTTTATTTAAAATATAAATAATTTAATAAATTATTATATATATTATTCGGTTCAGTACGGTTTTTTATTGATTTTTAATTTCTAAAACCTAAACCGTACCAAAATATTCAGTATGGTATTATCTAATACCAAAACCTAAAATATTTATAAAAAAAACCTAATTTTCGATACGGTACAATACAGTATGGTATGGTTCGGTTCGGTTCGGTTCGGTTTTTTAAAATCATGATCATCCCTAATGTATATTCATTATGCTAGATGGATTTGTCGCAAAAAAATTGTACTCACAATTGTGAGACTAGGCTTGAGGTTTCCAAGGTGGTATGTGACAAGCCACCTTCATCTCAAGTAAAAGGAAAAGGTTGAAGGAGGACGGCTAGTCAAGTTAGAATGGCTGTACAAGAGAAGGGGGTTTCGTAGTCTCCGATTACCTCAAAGGGATTAGCTGGGGTTTTAGTAGGGATTCAAGAACTCCAATACATTATGTTGACTTTGCAAAGAAGTTAGTAGACCCAGGGAGACAAGAGATTTGGCCTAGTGCTGTTAATAGGTTGGATTTTAATTCGAATTTGATTTGAATTCAATTCAAATTTTAGTATTTAAATCCGATTAAAATATTCGATGGATCAAATTTGATTATAAATATCCGTAATTTGAAATAATTTGATCGGATATGGATTTAAGTAATATGATTCATTAAAAATTTAAATTCGAATTTTAATAGTATTTTCTATTAAATTAATAACATCATATATTAATATTAATATATAATATTAACAAATTCAAAGTTTTATGGATTAAATTGAGAAAATTCAAAAATTGAATGTATGTTTTCAAGGTATTATTACATTTTGCTTATATTTATCTTACGTATTAAATTGCTATACATCTTGTTGAAATTCTTAAATGACATATTGTTATAGGACTTAGTTATGCATATAGTTGGTAATTATGAAATAAGTTTTTATGATTTTAATCTTAAATTGTTCTAAGTCATAGAATATGTCAATAAGAGTTATTGATAAATCCAATTTTTATTATATTTATACATTCATTTTGTATGGATTTATCAAGTATCTTCCATAATTTGTAGTTAAAATGAGCTATTAATGGAATAAATTCATTTCATTCTTTACTGTCTTAAACTTGAGTAAAATGAATAGTTTTTGAGGAAATTGAGTCTAATTATGCAAATTTTCATGGAATTTTAGCTTCAACTGTGTTGATCAACTTGGGGCTTGAAAGGTCAAAGTGTAAAATGAAGGCTGGAGATCAGTTTTAGGACTTAGACCAAGTCTATTACATCTTAACAAACTTGTTGGGGCTGGATTCGGGTTAATCATAATTCAGCGGGGGCTAAATTCCAAGAAATTGCAATTTTTCAGGTTCACGTGGCCTAGTTTGAGCTCCACGATAGCAGAAGGACCTTTCACCTTGTAGCCTTTGACAGTTACAGCCTATAGTCAACGCTTAACCATCCAAGTACAAGTGGTCTGTTCATTCAAATCCACTATCTGCATCTTATTAACCCAACACACAAAGTCCCCCAACCTGTTTTAAGAATTCAAAGCCCAATTTCACTTCTAGCTCAAGTTAACAGCACAGATCCACAAGTGCAGCCCCCTCATAACAGTCCCAAACCGCTATCAAAATCAATCCATTGTGTAGACCCCGTTAGTCTACATTTGACAGCCCCTCAGTACTGCCAGATTCCAAGTCCAAAGTCTCCAGACCACAACATCTGCCCTTCTATCAAGCACATTACCTAGCTATCAAAGCCAGTCTCCAAAGCTATATGACTGTATAAACCACTCATCAAGTCCACATTCTGTCCGGTTTTCCTTGGCCAAAATCAGAGCTGAAGGCCCAATGTATAGCAAAGCTCAAGCACACCAGTATCCAGTATATTATCTCCACTATCAAACAACCTTCTATCTAATCTCACAGCAAAGCAAATAGCATACTGTCACACACCAAATCTATAGAAATTTCCAACTTGCTAGGCCCTAGAAAAAAAATCATATCTAGAGTTGGAAAGGTTGGATTGGGACAATTCAAGGAGTTTTGGAAAGCCAAGAAAAAGATCTGCACTCTTGTGTTTTGACTTCAATCCAGTTCTGCCTGGAAATTACTCAAAATTGAAGAAACAGAAATTGGAATTTTGAAGGAGCAGTAGCAGTTTCTAGCATATGCAGTTTTAGAGAAAAAATCATAACTTAAGTTACAAAACTCAGATTAGGATGATTCAAGAAGTTTTGAAAAGTCTAGAAAAATATCTACAACTTTTATCTTTCGAACCTGGTCTAGTTGAGCCCATAACATCCTCAAAATTGAACCAAACAACTGCAGTAGTTTCAACTGCAGCAAATTTTGCAGCAACAGTAGCCCAGAGAAAAAAATTCAGAAGTGGAGCTAGGAAAATTCCAATTGAGATGAATTGAGAGACATTGAAAAATTAAGGAAGATATCTACAATTTTCATGTTTAGGCTCAGCCTAATTCAGAATGAAAGCTGCCCAAATTTCAGATGGAAGCCAGCAGATCTTCAGACTTATCAAGATTCAGATCTAAAATAGAACCTGCTGGTCTACCACTAGTTCACAAGTAACAAGATGAACGCCTCAAGCCCACAGAACTCACTTCAGTTGTCCAGTTTTCCGCTTGATCATCTGTTCAAATCCTAATCCACCCAAAATATATATATATATATATAATATATCAGAAATAAAGTCAACCTCACCAAGTGCAGTCCAAATCTGCAGAGGGGGGCAAAACCAGAATTCAGTAGCCTTGACTAAGACAAAGGCTTTGATATGAAGCTAGGACGTTGGAAGCAAACAGATCATTTCAGTCCTCAAGCCAGCTCGCTCAAGCCAATTTCCTCTAGAAGCAACAGATTGCACCAATAGCTCTGGCCTCAGCCACTTCTTCAGACCTCAAGCCTCAAACCCCATTCATGCAACAGAAGAATTAGCCTAACTCTGTAGATGCCAACAACCAGCAGTCCCACCTTGGTCCCCTGCATACCAAATTGGTTCAAAGGTCTAAGCTCAAATAATAGAGGTCCCCTTCCAGATTCAGAAGCCCAAAATCCCTATAATTGTTACATCCAGCCCACTTGTTCAACTCCAAAGCCCCAAGCTGTTTGCAAAACTCCAATCATGAAGTTAAGGCTCAAAAGAGTGAGCATTAGTAGCTCACACCAGAACACATGCAGCTCTTGATTCCAGTTTCAAAAGTTTCTGTGCATCTTGCAACTTCTCATAGTCCCTCTGGTCTCCCTAGCTCCTATTAGTAAACTCCCAGTTTCAGAAAGAGTATAGGCAAGCCCAAATTGATGGAAGCTGCAGACTTGCGCTCTAAATTGAGCTCCAGGACTTCAGTTCACAAAAGTCCAGCTCGCCAACTTAGACCTGGGCTTGAGGCCGAAAAGAAGAAGGATTTCAAGAACTTTGCGGCTACACAGAGCCCTCCAAACAGCAGCAACATATAACAAAGCCAAACTTGAGCAGGTCTCTTGAGAATGAAGTTTGGGGCTTATCCAAGTCCAGAAATCAGTCCCCCTCTGAAGAGAAACACCCCAGGCTAGCTT